CCTGAATATGCCTTTTAACGGGTTTTGGAATAGGACCATTCGCCTCTTCGATCTCCTCTAATCGAAGAGTGCACAAAAAAGAAGGTTCATTTCTCTTAAAACCCTTACTAAATTGCATGGCTAAGATATTCTTCTCGTCCATCCTCCCAACCTGTGTAGGGATGACACACGATTTATTACCCATCATCATTAACGAATCGAAATATGGCAACACTGCTGTCTTAGTATCCCGAAGAAATTCTAATCCCAGAATTAGCTTGAAATCATCCATCTGAACTACAGATAAATTTTTCCTTCCCTCGAAAGGACCTGCTTTGATCAACACCAATTTCGCTACTCCAGCTATTGGTTGAGCAACGGAGTTGATTGTTTTGACTTTTCCACTACCCTTTTCTAGAACAAGTCCAAGCCGCTCTACTTCGGTATAGGCAAGGTAGTTTTGGGTAGCACCAGTATCCACCATAGCCCTGATTAGCTTCCCGTTGATTTTTACATCAATGTACATTAAGCCTTTGGCCCTACAAATTCGAGCCTTCACTTCTTCCATCTTTGCCTCTTTCAATGGGATATCATCCTTTTCAACAACCCGATGCGACGGTGTGTTGCAGCGATGTGAAAATGCCCCAACTACGTCCTCATCCTCTTCAGAGTTGGTCTCACTATGACAATTAGCCTGCGGAGCCACTTGCTTTGAACTTGACCGGCCACTTGCTAGCTGACAATATGCATTTACCATCCGCTTCTGAGGACACTCCGACACCTGATGAGGTCCTTCGCATAAAAAGCACTTCGATTTGGGAGTGGCATCAGTTCGGCCCTCCATTGGTTTTCCTTTGTTCCAGTTGTTATCATTGCTGTCGTTAAAATTTTCTTGACGGCTATTATGATAGTTTCCCTGAAAGCCACGGGTGCTTTGATAGGCTTCTTCTTTATTCTGAGGATAACGCTCTCCCCCATTTGGGTTCGAGCTGGGTTTGTAGGGTCTGTTACCACCTCCAATTGCTTGATTACTCCCCGAAGGTCGATCTTTTCTAGATTTTGTTTGGTAGTCACTCAAGCATTCGACGGCTCCCATGGCCGTGCTCAAATCAGTAACTTTCTGTCTTTGAAGTTCCGTGCGTGTCCACGGTTTCAACCCTTCCATAAAGGTGAAGAGCTTATCCTTTTTCGACATATCTCGAATATTCAGCGTGTGACCCGAAAAGGATTTCACATACTCTCTGATAGACCTTGTGTGTTTCAGGTCTCGAAGTGCCTGTCGAGCCTGATACTCAACATTTTTCAGGAAAAACTGGGATCTGTGGTTACCTTTCTTGCTTCGTCTTCAATCGAAGCTACGAGAAAGTACTGTTCCATGTCAAATAAGAAGTTTTCGACTTCTTTTGCATCACGTGCCCCTCCGTAGGTACACGGTTCAGGAATCCTAAGTTTAGAAGCATACTCAGGTACGAGAGCTTGCCCATTGCCCACCGCACGTTGGAGTACTCGCAATTGAGCTCTTAACGATTCCATTTCATCCTGCAGATTAGGAATGATTGTAACAGTTTCAGCCATTGTTGCACAAGCCCTTTGGCTTTCATCCAACTGGATGTGTAATCCACGAATCTCAGACTTGGCCATCTCGACTTTTTCCTCGAGATCGTCCAAGGCATAACATAACCTAGTAGTTGTCTAAGCGCATCCAATCGCTCTTTAGTAATACTCTTCTTTTGAGGCTCTTCCACTTCAGTGGTGTGGGATGTAATTAGATCCATAGTTTTCTTATCGAAGGTTGTGAGCTGCAGCTCTGATACCAACTTTCACAGGGTGCCTTTCTTCTTGGCACGGAAAGGGACACCGTGCGGCAGTAGTTTGCTCCGCTAGACTCAGTGGCATCGGGATGAAAGAAAATTTGATTACAATTTTGTAGAAAGTTTACAATAGAGAATTTGAATACATTGAAAGTAAATTGAACATTGATTGATGAAAGCTGAGCATTACAATTGACGAAAATAGAAAATTACAATTGCTGATGAAGGGGGCGGACACTAGTGAGCTTGAAAGATTTTTGAATGACTAATACCCCTTATAATAGCATTCTGAACAAAAATCTAAGTGATAAGAGTAGACGTTTAAAAGACGAGGAATCATACTAAACATTTACTTATATCAGAGCTATTTTACAACTGAAATAACTATTACAATAAAAAGAAAATTACAACTCAAATTTGAAGTAATATTTACAATGTGCAGCCGAAGTTGGGCAAACTGCCACTGCGATAGTGTCAAAGGGCTAAGTAAAGTTGTGGTCCTTAACATTAGGACATATTAACTATGATACTTTACGAAAATTAGTTAACTTGAATTGCATACTCGAGTTCTACATTGATTCAAAATATAAGTGTGAAATTTGTGTTGAGAAAAAATTGACAAGGTCATCGTTTAAATCAATTGAACGGAATATAGAACCACTTGATTTAATTCACAACGATGTATGTAATTTAAAACTCGTATAAAGAAGAGGTGGCAACAAGTATTTCATTACTTTTGTCTACGATAGCACCAGATACTATTATGTGTATTTGCTAAAAAGTAAATATGAAGCCATAGAGAAATTTGTTCTCTATAGGAGTGAAGTTGAAATTCAATTTAATAAAAAAAAATGAAGGTATTAAGAATCGATTGAGGTCGTGGGAATGAAGCATCATTTGTGGAATTCTATGTACAACACGGAATCATACATGAAATCACCGCACCTTATTCACCGCAACAAAATGGTGTTGCTAAACGAAAAAAATCACACTTTAAAGGAAATGATGAATGCAATGCTAGTAAGTTCTGGGTTACCTTAGAGCATATGGGGGGAAGCTGTTTTATTAGCAAATTACCTTTTAAATAAGGTGCCCCGAAAAAAAATTGAAAAAGACCCTTTATGAGTTATGAAAAGGAAGAAAGTTTTCATATAAATACTTACGAGTGTAGGGGTGTCTTACCAAAGTGATCGTTCCAATACCAAAGAAGGTAAGGATAGGGCCAAAAATGGTAGATTGCATTTTCATTGGCTATACACACAATAGTAGTGCTTATCGATTTCTTGTGTATGACGCTAAAATTCCAGACATACACAAAAACATGATAGTGGAATCAAGAAATGCTTCATTCTTTGAACATGTATATCCGTACAAGTCCAAAGAGGATGCAAGCTCCTCCAAACAAACATATGAGACTATGACTGAGAATAGTCATAATGAAGAACTAGAATAGGAGACTGAGGCTAGACGTAGCAAACGGGAAAGGACAGAAAAATCGTATGGTCCTAATTTTTTGACCTATATGCTAGAAAGTTAACCTCAAAGTTATCAAGATACTGTGAATTCCTCGAAAGGACCTCAATGGAAGGAAGCCACTAAAAGTGAGATAGATTCCATACTATAGAATCATACATGGGAGTTAGTGGATCTTCCTCCAGGAAGCAAGCCACTATGCTATAAATGGATTTTCAAAAGGAAAATGAGAGCAGATAGTACTATCGAAAAGTATAAGGTTAGATTAGTAATAAAAAGTCACAAACAAAGGGAAGACCTTGATTACTTTGATACGTATTCTCCAGTGACGAGAATAACATCTATTAGATTAATACCTGCGATTGTTGCTTTGCGAAATCTTGAATTACATCAAATGGATGTTAAAACTGTCTTTTTAAATGGAAATTTAGAAGAAGAAATTTATATGGAACAACTCAAGGGGTTTTCGTCACAGGGCAGGAAAAAAAGTTTGTAAATTGATGAAATCACTATATGGCTTCAAACAAGCACCCAAACAATGGCATGAAAAATTTGATAATGTCATGATAGAGAGTGGATTTAAAATTAATGAGTGTGACAAATGTGTTTACGTCAAAGACACTAAAGATAGTTATGTCATTTTATATCTTTATGTTGACGACATGCTTATTGTTGGTAGTGACAATAAGATGATTGAATTCACTAAAAATATGTTGAATTTGAGGTTTGACATGAAAGATATGGGTTTAGTTGATGTTATACTTGGAGTAAAAATCTCAAGAACATCAGTGGGCTTGTTCTAAGTCAGTCACATTATGTGGTCAAAATTTTGGAAAAATTCAATAAGAATGATACTGGCTTGGCTAGAACACCATAGATACGAGTCAACATCTATCTAAAAATAAAGTTGAAAGTATCTCTCAAATAGAATATTCGAGAGTTATTGGAAGTCTAATATACTTGATGAATTGTACAAGACCAGACATATCCTACACAGTTAGTAAATTGAGTAGATACACGAGTAATCCAGGAGCTGATCACTGGAAAGGAATAGTAAGAGTACTAAGGTACTTAAGATATACTCGTGACTATGGACTACATTATACCAAATATCCAGCAGTCATTGAAGGATACAGTGATGCTAATTGGATATCTGATATAAAAGATTCAAAGTCCACCAGTGGATTTGTGTTCACATTGGGAAGTGCTGCCATATCCTGGAAATCCTCTAAGCAAACAGTTATAGTCACATCTACGATGAAATCTAAGTTTATAGCTCTAGATAAATGTGGTGAAGAGGCCGAATGGTTGCGTAACTTCTTAGAGGATATTCTAAGATGGTCAAATCCCATGCCAGCAATTTGCATATATTGTGACAGTCAATCAGCAATAGGAAGGGCATAGAGTAACATGTACAATAGTAGGTCTAGACATATACATCGTAGACACAATACCGTAGGACAACTACACTCAACCGGAGTTATCACTATTGACTACGTAAGGTCAAAAGACAACATTGCGGATTCGCTAACCAAAGGGTTAAATAGAGAGTTAGTTGGAAAATCATCGAAAGGAATGTGACTTAAGCCCTTGAATGAATAAGTCATTACAAAGAAAACCCGACCTAGTTGACTGAAGATCCCAAGATCTAGGTTCAAAGGGACAACCTAATTGTAAAGGCTTAATAAAATCACTGTGGGGGTGTATCCTCCTGACCATTCCTATGATATAACAGTGATGCCCGTAAGGATGAAGGAAAAGTAATAGATTTTTAATGATTCTTATGCATCGAAATTCGAGCCAAATAATGCGGGTTACTTGTAATAAGAAATCACCTATGTGAGAGAGAACTGTGGGGCTTAATTCTTAAGAACTCTCGCAGAACCAGGTACATGTTCATGACCAAAACGAACATAATAATGAAAACTGAATTGTGTTAGGAAGAATCTTGTGTGAAGTATATCATCGTTTACAAAAATTGCAGAATAGTTCAAGGACAACACGTCTACTGGTCAACTAGTAAATTAAATATGCTTTCACAAGAGAAGGTTCAAAGGGTAATCCTACCTATCCTATGTAGGCTTCAACCATTGAAATTTATCACCTAGTCTTGTGTCTCACGGTCACCATGTCTCGTGTCTCACGGTTTCATGTCTCTCCCAATTTTTATTCATGTGGGAGATTGTTGGAAAAAAAAAATGAGTAAATAGCTCACTTTTGGCAAAATTTTCGGTGGGATCCATTGATCCATTTTGGAAGATCAAAGTTGATCCATGTTCTTCTTTGTGAGAGCATCAAAATCATATATTTATTTATCAAAAATGAAGTTTGGGTGAATGAGAAATTAGAGCTCAAAGATTACTATTGGAAGATAGTTATGTGGGAAAAAATTGAAGTCAGTCCTACATAAGAAAAATATGAAAGCAAGAACAACTTTAAATATGGCTATACATTGAAAATGTGTAATCATGTGCAGCATAGAGGCTCTCTCCACGTACGCGCGCAGGGAGGGTACAAATCATGGACAGAAATTGCCTTCAGACCTTGAACTTGTGTGCGGACGCGACTGCATACAAGAAATGTCGGACCGAACGGAGCAAAAATTGACCCCTTTGGAGAGTCCACGTTTTGCAAATTTTTTCTTGCTTTCTCCATTGACTTTTGAGTTTCTGAAACTCCAGAAACTGATATAACTCCAATGGTTAATGGACAAATTAAGTCTATATAATTAAACTCAGTTTCCAACAATTTACACAAATGAAAAATTCGTCCTCTTCCTCTCTGCATCTGTATTGTTTTCAATAGTTCTTCCTGTATACGTATATTTGTCCAGTAAGGTCGTGGTGATATTGTTCAAGCGTTGTATCAGTTCGCCGAAATAGTTTCTATGGTGCTCAGATACTACATGTTTTACCGTTGTATCCTGGGAAACAGATGCTCGGATTAGACCTCAAATACTTATAGTAAGGGAGAAAATTTGTTTTAAGGAAACTATGCTCGCACAGGCCTCGGGTTGAAATTTTATTTACATATCTGCAATTTATTCTTGCAAGTTATTTATTTATTTAGCGATTTACACGTTTGCAATTTACTAGATTCATATATTTTGCAGTTTACTTATTTTTATATTTATGTTAGAAATAAAAATAAATAATATATATATATATATATATATGTATATATATATCTGAATTTTCTTGCTAACAGTTGGTAAATGCAATTCAGTATTTGTATGTTACATATACGATTTTTCTATTGAAAAAAATTCTGTATTATTTTAATAAAAATAGTTTGTGCTAATTTTATACATGTACGGTGAGCTTCGCTGCTAAATACAGTGAGCTGCCATATACAGTGAGTTGTTAAATACGGTAAGGTGCAAATACGGTAAGTTGCATATACGGTATATTGCATATACGGTATGCTTAAAATCGGTATTTAAACTACATATACGGTATACGATAATCCGATTTCGTTAACATCACTATATTCCAACAGTTAGATCTTATGAAACTATATTGAATGTCTGTACACCTTCCTTTTTTTTTTGGGGGGAAAAAGAAAAAAATGAAGGCTAATGCTTGTTTATCAATTATAGATTGCCTAACCAATCTAAATTAATCCCTTGAATTAAAATCTAGATTATTATTAAAGTTAAAGTAATAATTAATTTTAACTACATATTTTATAGGATGTGTAACTTTTTAAACACATATTTTATCAATCAAAATTTACTAATAGTTTAATTTCAATTTTACTAAATAGGGATTAAATTCTTTAGATACGTTAAAAAATTTTGATTTTCGATTTTTGTGGAATTTTCCTCTGTCAGAAGAAGAAACCTTGATGGAATTTCTATATACACAAAGGAATATTTCAATGTTTTTCGAGAAGAGGTGAGAAACATCTTTGGTATATAATCTGATTGACAGCCTCTTGTCTGAAGAAACCTCCATTTCAAATTTTATTTCTTCAAGAATAGCAACTTCTTTCACTAAAATTTCAAATAACTATCTCGAATTCAAATTGATTTTATTTCGCCTCTTTATTAGAAAAGGACAATCTACCAATTATCAATTAGAATCCTTGCAAAACAAATCATTCATCAATAAGAAACTCCAATCATTTGATATATTTCTCTTTGAATAAGCTCTTAATTCAAATAAGGGTTTTATTAGATATCTTAGGAGTTTGTGTGTGTGTGTGTGTGTGTGTGTATATATATTTCCTCCACTATTTTTTAGTTATTGAAAGAGCTATCTCATTTTGAAAGATATAATGTATGAGTGAAAAAAAAAAGGTTTTTTTTCTTAAATTTAATTTGTTAGACAATCAGTCTCTAATTTGTAATAGAATAATATTATTTAAGCTCAGTCTATTTTATGTTAGTTCATAGACTAAATAAAACATTTAGTCTTCATTTGTTTTCCATTCTTTGGTGTAAAAAAAAGAAAACTATGACCGTTATTCATCACATCAAGTCACCACATTTGACTTCCTCTTTTTGTGTGGATCCCGTAACGACTATATATTTTATTCTCATTCTTATAAGAATGGGAATCAAACGGGGTCTAATGTGACATTAACGCCACATAGATTGAATTATAACCCTTAGGGACTCAATAGCTTTACTCTGATAGCTCAACCTCAACAAATACATAAAAACGCCGAGGGAGAGAGGGAATTGGAATGGGTTCTTCTGTATGTACATTGGGGTTGATCGACCCTCTCACAAGAGGGGAGCCCACGACTTTTTAATTCGTCGTGGCCCTCCATCTTGTGAGGGTGTCGGTTCACCCCCTGTGTACAACAAGCATAATTCAATTGAAATTCAACTCTGGATCCTCAAAACATGGAGCTTATTTGGGAGTGATTTTGAGAATTGATTTTTTGACCATTAGGAGAAAAGTGAGGTCCACCCGTGAGAGAAAAAGTCAAATATGACGATTGTAATAATAAAATAACGGTCAAAAAATCAATTTTTTGGGAGGAAAAATCACTCCCAAATAGGCCCATGACATGCATCTAAACAATCTCTTCATGCTCCCTCCACTCTTCTTTAAACAAGAACACCACAAGAAAACAAAACAAAAAATACAATCAAAACCCAAAACCAGAACCCCAACTTCCCAAATCATCCCCAACGCCACTCTTAACCACCCCAAATATCCAGTCACATACAAAACTTGAAGCCCTTGAAATCGTAATTAACAAAATAGAAGCTTCTGTAAAAAATGGCGTCGAAATCAATGATCCCCATATCTTTGCTTCCCTTTTAGAAACCTGCTTTCATTTAAAAGCCATTGATCATGGCAATAAGATTTATAAACTCATTCAAGAAAGACTTTTGCGTAAAAATGTGGGCATTTCATCCAAGCTTCTTTGGTTGTACTCCTGTAATGGGGACGTTAAAAAGGCCCACAAGGTGTTTGATCAAATGCCCAAGAGAAATGACTTGGCTTTTCCATGGGATTCACTTACACGGGGTTATGCTGAGGTGGGTTTGTACGAAGATGCATTGGCATTGTACTTTCAAATGGTGGAAGAGGGAGTGGAACCTGACGCATACACGTTTCCACGGGCTCTGAAGGCTTGCGGAGGTGTTGGGATGATCCAAGCTGGGGAGGAAGTTCATCGTCATGTGATTCGCTCTGGATGTGGAAACAATAAGTTTGTGCAAAATGCACTACTGGATATGTATGCAAAGTGTGGAGACATTAGCAAGGCTCAAAAAGTTTTTGATAAAATTGTGGACAAGGACCTAGTTTCATGGAATTCCATGATTATTGGGTACATGAGGCATAATCTTATGGTTGAGGCATTGGATTTACTACGTGGGATGATGCAGGAGGGATGCGAACCTGATTCAATTACGATATCAACATTTCTCACTAGCGCATTACCCTATAAAATTGTAATTCAAATTTATGGATTAGCTTTTCGTCGAGAAATTGAGTGGAATATAGAAACAATCGTGACTTCATTGTCACAAATGTGACCTAAATGTTTACTTGATGCTTCGCAAATTTCTGTGGCCACATCCTGCAACGTATAAAGCTCACTGTTACGATAAGCATTATCTGTGACCATGTCAGGCGGGTACTCTATTGCTGCATCAATTATGTCAATGATTAATGGGTATTTAGCTGGATCATGATCGACTTCTTTCAATAGAATGTATGCAAGCACATTGCTGTCATTTTTTATCCTGATTGCAGGCAATTCGTCGTTGAGTATATACTTCAATGACACTGCTACCTTGGTCGGATCCAAGCTGAACTCTGACATAATCATGTTTACAAGGTTTATATAACTACATCCACAGTCTACCAACGCCAAAACTGACTGAGATCCATGCAACAAACATACGTGCAAGTACACATTTCTGCAAAATTGAACTTCAAAGCATCACATTCTCGATGGTTAATTTAATACTGTGCATACAGGTTTATATAAGAATTTATGCAATAACATGAAGTCATATATGACACGGAAAAATGCAGGTCACATTTGGCGACACACAGGTCACATCTCATGAACAAAATTGGTTTCATTCTCTTCTCCAATTCGCTTACACGTTCACGTATGTGACATACATACGGATACTGTTGTGTCAAGTGGTCATATTTTGGTCAAATATCGAATCATATTTTGGTCAAACATCGGAATAGGTCACACACGGATATGATCAGTGGTAATATAACATGTCTTACAGATAATCAAAAACAAATTGAGGTCACATTTTTTTCACAGCAGTCACATTCAATCGACCACATTTATTTTAGTGGTCACGGACATCCACAATCGATGCTACACTTGCCTAAGACTAGTTACACTCAATTAAATCACATCTCATGCATGTTGTTCATGTCCCGCTGCACAATATTATTGAATTTGAGACATATGTGACTACGATAGATACGGACATTGGAAATTTGCGTACAGAAGATATTCGGAACTAATCTGATGATGCTAATTGCAAAAAAGGAAGGAGTGCAATAATCGGACCAATACCTGGATTGATTTCTGTTATGCGAAAACGTCAATTTCTCCAAGACGATCCCAAATTTGTGACACGAAAATATCAATGTCAATGAATTAGGGTTCTACAGTGTCCGGATTGAAATTACTCTGGATGTTTTATTTTTGATGATGATTTTGTAGCAGTAGAGACGTTTTATTAATGGAAATATATATATATATATACACACACACACACACACACACACACACACACACATGAGATTTGAATATATACTTTCTATACCTCAATTGTGAAATGGTGTTAAGTATACACCTTATATATGAATTTTTCCCACTTACATATGGTAGAAACCGGACCCAAGTCCTAATTCTATGATGGGTCGAATTAGGTTAAAGGGCGTCGCTATATGAATAAGTTATGGTCCCCAGATCGCACGCACGTATTATTCATTATCTTCTATATCCCATCACAAAGAGAAAAAAAAAGAGAGGATGCGTGTAGATTTGGAAGACAAAATCGCGAAATTCATTGTTGTATTAATCATGTCTGATTTAGGTACGCTTCCGCTATAGTTCTTCGATTTCTTGATGATATAACATGAAAGATCCGGCGATTTAAAGCAATAAATTATCCTACAAGTGGTATCAGAGCCTTTTCACGTTGAATCATTGAGAATTAAAGGTTTTAATTTGGTTCTTGCAATATTTTATAAAGTTTTCAGATTTAATAGCTTTGAATTTAGTTTTGTTGAATTTGAAAACTATTCGGTATATTTTTTTATTATCTTTTATAATTCGGATTAATAATTGAGAAAAAATTTTAAAATATGGATTTTGGTTTGTGGAAATTCAGATTTCGGTACAGTATAATAAAAAAATTTATTTTGGTTTTCTGACCATTGGCCGGCGGCGCCGGCGCCGGGCTGTGCTGCATCGCAGCAGCGCCGTAGCAGTGGCGCTGCTCTCAATTCCTTACCGGCGGCGCCACCGTGCGCTGTCAAGGAGAAGATGGAAGAAAATTTTCCTTCTAGGGTTTTCTATTTTGAGAATTTGGGGACAGGGCTTCTTTTGTAAATTAGGAAATTTGAGGCCCCTAGTTACAATTAGGGTTAGGGTTATAAAATTAAGGTTTCAATCCCTAACATTTAAGGTATATTCAAGTTTGGGCCTTTAAGTTTTGGATTTAAAAAATCAGCCCCATAAAGTTTAAAAATTAATTAATTCGGGCCATTAAAGTTCTGAATTTGTAATTAAAGCCCTCAAACTTTAATCATTAATTCAAATTGGCCCCTAAAATTTATAATTAATTCAGATTGACCCCTAAAGTTTCAAAATTTCAAAATTTGATCCCTAAAGTTTTGGATTGGTCAATTTTTGGCCCTTAAAGTTTTAAATTTGTTCTAATTGATCCTCTAAAGTTTTGAATTAATTAATTATGGTCCCTAAAGTTTCAAATTTATTAATTTCAATCCCTAAGTTTGGAATTAATTAATTTTGCCCCCTTAAAGTTTTGAATTATTAATCCTAAGGCCCCTAAAGTTTAAAACTAAACAAAATTATGCAAAATTGGTGATTCTCTTTCTCAAATTTTGGTACTAAGGACTCTTTTTTAAGAGAAATAATATTCGAAAGTTAATTAATTGAAGCAACATGTTGCCAAAACAACCTCTCTTGTGGAAATTGATTAATTTAGAATATTAAAAGGTGTTTGTGCTTATGTTATTCATGGAAATATTGGTCGGCCCAAAGGAAGGTCAATATTTAGCCGAATACACGTGCACTTGTGGTGATAAATATGTGACAATTATTTGGTTTAATGTGTGATCAATAAATCGGTCCAAAGAAAAGTTTGTTGACTGACACATTGTTTTATCGTCAATGTTTGATCACTACGTTAATAATACCGCTTACAAGTCAATATCTCTGTCCAAAGACTAGATATTGATCTTGTGTTTGGTATCTTGTGATGGGCCTTACCACTATTTGAGAATATTATTATTTGTATATTAAAGATATTCATGTGAGCTATTCATAATAATCGTTCTCTAATTCAATTTCAGGTTCTACTGCTAATATCTCTGCTAGCATCAATTCAATTCCAATGCTTAATGGCACAAATTTCAGGGCATGGCAAGAGAACGTGATGATTGTTCTCGGAGTCATGGACCTGGACCTTGCTTTACGGGTCAATCAATCTACTGCACTTACTGATAAGAGTACCTCTGATGACAAGAGGGAGATGGAAAAGTGAGAACGATCGAACCACATAAGCTTAATGGTTATGAAGCGTGCTATTCCAGAAGCATTCCGGGGCACCATGTCCGATAAGGTGACTACGGCTAAGGGTTTCCTTGAGGATCTTGAGAAGAGGTTTGCCAAGAATGAAAAGGCTAAAACAAGTACACTTTTGGCAAACCTTGTCTAATGAGGTATAAAGGGAAATGAACATTCGGGAGTATATTATGGAAATGTCTCACATTGCTTCAAAACTAAAGGCACTCAAGTTGGATTTATCTGAAGACTTGTTGGTGCACTTAATTCTGATATCCCTTCCGACACATTTCAGTCAATTCAAGGTGAGCTACAACTATCAAAAGGACTCATGGTCCCTTAATGAGCTCATCTCACACTATGTTCAGGAAGAGGAAAGACTGAAGCATGAGAAGACAAAAGGTGTTCATTTGGTCACCACCTCTAAGGACAAAAGGAACAAGAAAAGGAAGATTAATAAAGAAGCTACGGGTACGGCACCGCAAACGAAACAACATAAGGAACCAATTGAAGGTAGTTGTTTCTTCTGTGGAGCTGCAGGTCATAAGAAGAAGAATTGCAACAATTACCACGCATGGCGTGTAAAGAAATGTATTCTTCTTCATTTGGTTTGCTTTGAGGTTAATTTAACTTCGGTACCTAGACATACATGATGGATAGATTTTAGTGCAACAACTCACATTAGTATGTCTATACAGGGTTGCTTGAGTTGCCGAAAACCAAGTGATGGTGAAAGATACATCTATGCTGACGACGGCAAAAGGGTGGAAGTAGAGGCAATAGGAAAATTTAGATTATTGTTAAAGACTAGATTTTATTTGGATCTTGTTGAGACATTTATTGTACCATCTTTTAGGCGGAATTTGATTTCTATTTCTGTTTTGGATAAATTTGGTTATTCTTGTTTATTTGGAAATGAAAATTTTAGTTTGTTTCATGATTCAAAATTGGTTGGTTCCGATTTTTTATCAGGTTACGATAATCTTTATTCAATTGATTTAATTACTTCTTATAATGAATCATTGCATGTGAGTACTCGAGGTGTAAAGTGAAAATTAACTAGCGAGAATTCTGCCTCATTGTGGCGCAAAAGATTAGGTCACATCTCCAAAAGGAGAATTGAGAGACTTGTGTCTGACGGAATTCACAACCCTCTTGACTTCATAGATTATGATTTGTGTGTCAATTGTATAAAGGGAAAACAAACCAATAAAAGGAGATGTCAAGCCAATAGGACTTCGAACGTCTTAGAACTTATACATACGGATATTTGTGGACCATTCCCTACGGGTTCTTGGAATGGTCAACAATATTTTATAACGTTCATAGACGACTTTTCAAGATATGGCTACATATATCTCATTCATGAAAAATCACAGGCACTGGATGTGTTCAAAAACTATAAAGTTGAAGTTGAGAACCAACTCGACAGAATGATTAAAAGCGTCAGATCTGACCGTGGAGGTGAATACTATGACAGATATGACGGTTTAGGTGAACAACGTCCAGGACCATTTGCTAAATTCCTAGAGGAATGCAGTATCGTCCCACAGTACACTATGCTGGGTTCGTCCATTATGAATGGTGTTGTTGAGAGATGAAACAGAACGCTTAAAGACATGGTAAGGAGTATGATTAGTCATTCTACCTTACCAGAATCTTTCTGTGGTGAAGCATTAAAAGACCGCAGCTTATATACTCAACAAAGTTCCAACTAAGGCCACTGATAAAACCCCATATAAG